TGCTAACACCTCCTCCTTATGAACCTCAATCCCGTCTAGTCTAATAGCCTGTATCTCAGTATTCTCCTCGACAACACTGTCTTTTTCCTGTGTGAATACGGACGAAAAATATGCATTTAGCGCCTCTCCTATTTCTTCGGACTCAACGCACAACTTCCCACTACTGTCCTTGACTGGCCCTAATCTTACTCTAGTCATTCTTTTATTCCTGACATACCTATAGAAAGCTTTAGGGTTTTCCTTGATCCTACCTGCTAAAGACTTCTCATGTCCCCTCCTGGCTCTTCTTAGCTCTCTCTTTAGGTCCTTCCTGGCTAACTTGTAACTCTCAAGCGCTCTAACTGAGTCGTCACGCCTCATCGCTTCATAAGCCTCCCTCTTCCTCTTGACAAGAGATTCAACTTCTTTAGTAAACCATGGTTCCCTCGCTCGACCACTTCCTCCCTGCCTGACAGGTACGTACTTCTCAAGGACACGCAGTAGCTGTTCCTTGAACAAGCTCCACATTTCAATTGTGCCCAGCCCCTGCAGTTTCCTTCTGCATCCTATGCATCCTAAATCTTGCCTAATCACCTCATAATTGCCTTTCCCCCAGCTATAACTCTTGCCCTGTGGTATATACCTATCCCTTTCCATTGCTAAAGTAAATGTTACCGAATTGTGGTCACTATCACCAAAGTGCTCACCTGCGTCCAAACCTAACGCCTGGCCTGGTTCATTACCCAGTACCAAATCCAATGTGGCCTCGCCTCTTGTTGGCCTATCTACATACTGTGTCAGGAAACCCTCCTGCACGCATTGGACAAAAACTGACCCATCTAAAGTACTCGAACTATAGCGTTTCCAGTCAATATTTGGAAAGTTAAAGTCCCCCATAACAACTACCCTGTTACTTTCGCTCCTATGCAGAATCATCTTTGCAATCCTTTCCTCTACATCTCCGGAACTTTTCGGAGGCCTATAGAAAACTCCCAACAGGGTGACCTCTCCTTTCCTGTTTCTAACCTCAACCTCGGTAGACGAGTCCTCATCAAACGTCCTTTCTGCTACCGTAATACCGTCCTTGACTAACAATGCCACACGCTTTATGAGCTTACATTTCCCCTCTCCCAAACCCTGCCCCTCTCTAATTCATTTAAAGCCCTCACTACAACCTGAGTTACTTAATTTGCTAGCACACTGGTTCCAGCTTCGTTCAAGTGAAGCTTATTCCCCAGAATATGCCTCTCTACCCCAGTTGCGATCGCAGAGCCCCATGAACTAAAACCTATTCCACCCACACTAATCTTTGAGACATGCAGTTAACTCCTTGACGTTATTTACATTATTTCAAGCTCAGGATTAATTCAAAGATTAATTCAAGACAGAGGCCTTCGGCACTCAGTGGGGACAGGGGCCGTGAGCTGTTCGCTGGGGACGGGGGCTAAGTACCTGGAGATGGGAGGTAAGTTCACGGTACTTTTTGATTGTTTGTTGATAATCAGCTACTGTCTCCTGAGCAGCTTCTACTCGCTTCTCTGCTTCCCGGATTCGAGCAGCTCCCAAATCCAGCTGTTCCCTTAATTCCAGCTCCGTTTCCCGGGCATTCTCCTGCAACTCGTCGTTCATTTCATTTATGGCTTCCTATAAAACATGGAAACCCAATGAGACAGACAAACAGATTATATACCCTCGCTCAGAGTGACTCGTACCCCAAGATCCTCTGTGATCCCCTGGTCGCCTCCCCATTAGACAGACTGTGATGCTGTCAGGATCTAGCTGACTCTCACCAGATCACTGACGGTCTCTCGTAGCTCCCGCACTTTCTCCTCCAGATCCAGATTCCGCTCAGTTAGAGTTTCCACCATTTCCTCAGCTCCCAAAGCCGCATCAACCTAGGAAAGAAAATCACAGCGAGCTTACCGACAGCAACAGGAACAGGCCATTCAGCCCCTCGGGTCAGTGAGACAG